AGCTCTGGTCAGTGAACATGCTGAGGACGTGTGCCACCTCTTGGCTGCTTCCAGTATTCAACTGATACTCTGCAGCTGACGTCATCAACACTCCCTGGGGCTGTGATGCTAACTGTAGGCTCTCCCCCATCTTGAAGCTCTGTTACTCAAGACAGACTTTAACACAATCTGACTTAGCTGGAATTACAACAGATGAGTTGATTTTTACTGTTAAACAAGCCCCTCTCAAATTATTTTACAACCAGAAACCTGCATTAGCCAACAGTTTTTCAGTTTGTCCCTCTCACGTTTTTGTTGAAAATCAAACTCCTAAAGAGGACCATGAACATACTGATGACAGACTCCTGAAAATGTGTTTAAGTCCATTTTTCTTGAGGTTACCACTTGAGTTTTAGAGAGTGCTTTTTTGATTAGATTGAAATGAAATCTTCTTCAAGCAGTTTCTCATTTCTCGCTGAAGCATTGCCACACACTGATAGAGCCAAATATTCACATTTAATCTCTATGGACAGTTGTTATCTGGTACGCGGCAGGTGTCCAAACATTGTGACAAATAATACAGAGGCCCACACTTACATAACCAACATCACTCAATCAACTGTCTGAGAACAGCCAGCATTGTAAACCTATTATGTAAAACATAGCAGGATCACCACCTGTGGGATGTTGTATTGTATATTCTGACACATTTTTATCACACATTTCACAAGATACTGACCAACACTAACACCCACAAGAAATGCAGTTGTTTTGGAGATATTCTGACTGTTAAGTAAGGACAATTTCACCAGAATCATTTTGCTGATCATTTTCCTTTGAAAGATGCACCCCGCCCAAAAAAAAAGGTGATACAAATCTGTAAAAAAAAAAAACTGTAATCACAATGACTGTAGATGAATTTTCTTTTTGTTAATCAAGTTTTACAGAATCACAGTCTAACTGCTTGTGGCTTTTTAGTTCATATGGTCTTATCAGCCAAATTTGTTACAGTAAAAGTAAAGGATATGGAGAGGAGAACAGATTTTGGAAGAACAAATTTTGATATTTTTTTGTGTGTGTGTTTGACTGACTAAAAGGCTGTACTGTTTATGTTCTTGACTCATTTAAAGGTGCACTGTGTAACTTTTCTGGTAGAGGGTCTGCCACCTGCTTGTCCATATAAGATATTATTGTTTTGCCATGATTATTCCACAGTATGGAAATAAACATTACAATGGAGACAGGTTAATGGTCAGATCTATGGAAAAGAAAGCACCTGGTAAGAATTCATGTTTTTAATGTATTTTTGAGCTATAAAACATCTCTAATTGAACAAATACAAGAGAGACATGTTTAATGGTCACATTTTTCCATAGCGCTTTTCCACCTTCACTTTTCCACTTTTCCAATAAGGAACCACTAGACAGCACATTAGTGAACGCAGACAGTGGTGTGGAAGGTGGGTTAAGTGTCTTGCCCAAGGACACAACAACAGCATTTATCTGTGGGAGCTGGAATCACACCAGCCAACCTGTGGATCAGTGGCTCTGACCGCTCAACACCCATGATGTTTATGTCAAGAGTGAAATTCATATCGCCAGTCTTCAGATCAGTGGATGAATGCTCTACCAACTGAGCTACTGCTGCCCTACTGTGGAACATTCCAGGCAAAGAAACAACATCTCCATGGAGACAAACAAGTAGCGGACCCTCCACTTTAGAATTTCTCCTTTGCCTCTACTTTAGAAGTTACATACTGCACCGTTAAAGAGAAATAACTAAAATGAATAACTAAATGAAATAAAACCAAATCAGAAATTGTGACTGATCACCACAAGGGAAAAAAGTCTCTTTCCAATCATACCGCCCAGTCCTAATAAGAAGCGATATTGATTTTGTACGCCCAACACTACAGCTGCTTATGGTCCTGTACTTGCACTCACTAATCAGAGCACTAAATAAGAATTCCCAGTGCATTTTTCAGATCTCTTTATGAGCTGCAGAAGTAGTTTAATGACTGGCTTTAGCTCTGAGCTTAAAAACAAGTGTGCCCTTGTTTGTTGATATGGTTCATCTCATTTAATTAAATCTGTGCTGAGAACAGTATAATAAGGAACAACTGTTTGTAAAATGGCCGCTTTGGAAGCTCTACAATTCAATTAAGCAACTCTCACTGGTGCATCTGTAACAAAGGAAGCACTGGGGATGCAAGAGAAGAGTGGGATTAATGAATCGCAATGAGGATTAGACAGTGCAATTTACTATTTATTTCATATTTGAGTTATTTTTATTAGATTTATTTTACATATATTTGTGTAAAATTTTATGTTTGTGTAAAATTCCACAATATGTTCCAATCAATAAACCTTATTTCTATTACCCAATAAAACCATAGCTGACCTAAGTGCATTTACATATTTTACAGGAATTGTGTATTTAAAAAAACACCCCATTTAAGGCAAATTGTACAAACTGTGAAATTGGCTGATTCAGTTCTGACCCCTTATGCCCCTTTTACCGATCATAATTTTTTTTTTTTTTTTTTGTGCCTTGGGATATACAAAAAGTCATTTGATGCCATTTCTATTCATTTCTACATTCAATATGAAATGACTGACAAATGCTATTCATTATATATGCTGAGGGTCTAGACTGGACTTCATCACTTCCTCTTGTTTCTCAGGGCGTTGACTAGTGCTCCGCTCAGTGTCAGTGCTAACAATGTAATGGCCCCCGCACCAAAGTTGGAGTGAAAGTTAGACTGGAAATATCATCTATAAAAGTGAGTAATCTTTCTTGTATTATATTATGATGAACATACAGTAAAGTGCAAAATATGGTACGGAAACTATTTTTTGCAAAAGATGGACCATGGAAAACTATTATGGCGTGTTCTTATGCTTATGCCAAGTGACTGATTTAGATTAAAACTGTTTAAAGGTCCTACATCATGTACATTTAACATGCCTGGAGTTGTGTTTTGGTTCATTCACAGTTTATTCTACAAAGGTGTATGGAGTTTAAAAACACAGTGGAGCACTTCCTGTATTACTACATGGCATCACAAGGTGGAACAGAGCATTTTTTTGTTTGAGAGAAGAACACAGCCTAAACATGCAGTTTTTTTGTGTTAAATGTGTGTGCATTAAACAAAACACAACTCCAGGAATGTTTTTGATGACGAAACAACATTATATAACATGTAGTAGATTAGAAAATAGCATAATATGGACCCTTTAAACAGATTTTTACCATCTTGGGGAATGGAGCAAATATACAAATTAAAAGGCTAACACTCTGAAAAAGAACAATTGATCTAATTGTTATATACCAATCCTTTGTTATTTGTGTAAAGTGAGAATAAAACTTCTCACATCAAATACCAAATTAGTGGGCATGAAAAGCCTAAACCTAATGAGGCTGGACCATAGCTAAAACTTGAACCAAACCTGGACCATGATCATAAAAACTTAAAACAAGAAACATCACCACTTTAAACCTGTAGTTACAGTTTTAAAGGGTCCATATTATGTTATTTTCTGATTTATATTACATTGTTTACCTCATCATTCCTGAAGTTGTGTTTTGTTTCATTCACACATGATTAACACACAGATCTTGCATATTTAGGCTGAGTTCCTCTCTGAAGCATAAAACACACTGTTCCACTTGATGATGATGTCATGTGGAAGTGCTCCACTGTGTTTTTAACTTCATGCACTTTCACTAGAATCATTTGGATACTTTCAGCCCTGGAATTGCCGATCTCTACAAAACTAAAGATAAAAGACAGCTGTTGACTTGAAAGCTACTGCTTCATGACATCACAAGGTTGAACAGATTGCTCTGAGCAAGAAGTAGAGAGACTAATAATAAAGGCTTACTCAAACATGTGTGAATGAAATTAAGCACAACACAACTCCAGGTATGTTTTTGACGAGGTAACAACATTCTAACATGACTTAAAGCTCACAAGAATCAATTGTACATAATATAGGGCCTTAAAACTTAGACTCGGACCTATGTCTAAGCCAACATTATAGCGCCATGTGCCTAAAATACAGGCAGCAACAAGCCAGTCTGTGATATGGTCTATAAAATGCTAATATTCACTATAGCCACTGTGCACTGAGTCTGATTGTGTAAGAGCTGTCTGTTCAGCACCACAAAGCTCTGCTCACAGCTTTTATCTGAAACATGACAAACTTTGCATACATGAATGTGTATGTATGTCATTACAGCATGCTTCATGGGGATGAGTACAGCTGCCTAGTTACAGTATTTATGCCACAAATGCTAAAAATATTAAAATGCAGAGTAAGAAATGCCATGCGACTCTAACCATTAGTTTGCATCTGTGTGATGTTTTCAGTGGTCTGCACCTTCTGCTGTAGAGAAACAGGTGAACTCACTGACTTTTACTGTGAGACGTGCCTAATACCAGCATTTCATTGTACTTCATTTGTGACTTTAGTTTCAAAGGGACAGTGAATATGTTAACATGCACATGAAATATTGGATCATTAGTACAGTTACATCTGATGTGAATAGTAAAAGGAGTAGTTTTTTTTTTCTTTTCCTGATAGATCACCCCTGTGTTGGTTTTGTCAAGGAAAATTATGCAAAAAGAGCAATCTAATTCACCAAAGATACACATGAAAGAGAATATTTAATATAATTTGCCTTTTAAATACAACAGTTGCTATAAAAATCTGTTGATTTAACTGCTCTTGTCAGGTGTTTTTGATAATCAGGTTTCTTTTGTGCAGGCCAAAAAGTCAGATCTAATTATTGGGTTATCTTGTTATTGCTGCTGCTCTTATATTGCTCATTATTGTTTCTAAAAAAGTTTTAAGCAGCAGTAGGGATTAATAGCAGCCATAGTATTTCCTTTAAATGTATCTTCAGCCTATATGAAATCACTACAATAAGAAGTAACACGGATACCTCTTGCACGGGTTTGGGGCTAATCATGCGTTCAAAAAGAGACAGTAACAGCCCCGTGCGTGTTCTGTGCTCACCTGTACCAGTCCAGTCCTCGGTCATAGTTCCGGTCAAAGAAGTGTGGCTCTGTGCCCAGCGCGCGCACATCTGGGTGGATCCGGATAAACTCCAGCACCGCTCTCGTGCCCCCTTTCTTCACGCCGACTATGAGCGCGTTCGGCAGCTTCTTATTCCCGTACTTTTGCGCCATGCTTATGTTTTTATTCAACTTCCCTTCGCTCCAGTGACTCCCGGTAGAGCTAGTTCCAGCCGCGTCTCGCTGCGCCTCTTTAACATCCACGAAAGCCGAGGTGCAGCCCTCCTCCACTTTCCCAAGAAGTTTCTTGCCTCCCGCGTTCTTGCTCGTTACGCACCGCTTGTCCTCGTAAGCCTGGTTGGTCATGATTGTTCCGCGACAGAAGATGACACTGTAGCATAAATATGTGCAAGAGAGCGAAATCGTGAAAATGAAGACAAATCTGGCGCTGAATCTGTTTGGAGAGGTGAGGAGCCTATGTGCCATGTCTCCATTGGTTCAAAGTGCTGCATGTTGTTCCATCGGAGCGCGCGCTGCTCTGTGCTCTGCTCTGGTTACGGTCTGCCAATGATAAAGGCGCTCAAGTCACACACATTGGTGAAGTGGGGAAGCGCGCGCGTAATTCCTCTATAACATTATAAACTTCAAACTGCATCCAGACCCTATAGATGAATCGTATTTAGACTCAAAATATTGCTCCAAAACACATGATCCAAACAGCGCACGATTATAAAGTCATAAAAAGACGCTTGCCTGCAACAGTATCGTTACTGACGTCATATTTCATAATCTTTTCTGCAAATTCTATTTTAAAGGGCATCTTGAATATTTCACACTCGACAGAATAAATTGGATTTAAACGAGCAGATCTGCGCTTTTGCAAATGTATGTAGACAAGCCAAGGTTTTCAAAGCCCCAAGACCTCCAAATGTCATGACTCTTGGACTATCTGTTATATAATATCTCACGTACCAAACAGATTCTGAAGGTTTGGGGGGATTTCTGCGTCACTGCTGGAATATGTTTTACGCGCAATAGACAGAGAGGATCTGAGTTTTCCTTCAGAAATATGAAATGACTCTTGAGTGTTGACGAGACATACAAGCTCTCCGAGTGTATAGTAAAAATAAAAACAAACTTTAAAGTAATTGAGGAAATAAACAAAAATTAACAATTATAGAAAATAAAATGTTATGGAAAGGTGGAAATGTGGGATGTTTAAGGAATAGTAAGGAATGTATTCTAATAATAGACTGCAGTTCTATTCAGAGTGAAATATACCAAAAGTATTAATTTTGGTAGAACTACTTGATGGATTTTTATATTATTTTATAATTTTTTTCCACCAATATCTATAATCAATTGTAAAAATAACATAAAACTAAATATGCAATGATGGATGCACAGCTATTTGTGTTAATGTCATAAAAATGATATTATGTAATTTAATATTATGTGTATTACTTTCAAAAGCTATTAACATCCAGACTACACAACTAATGATTTTGTGGTTGCTATGCATGGTTCTTTGTGGACACTGGGAAGTGGGCACTGGACTGCAAGGACACCCATTGTAGTTGTAGTGAATGAGTAGTTCACAAGGGATTTCAAGAGCACAGGACACAGAAAAGAATGTATTTTTTCTCGTTAACATTTACGTGTATTATACAATGTAAGATTATGTGCACTGTTACATATGTGGTTAGCATAAGAAGTACCTTTCTGAAAGTACATTTTTAGAAATCGTTTTTGCTGTGGTGATGAATTTCCCTTCGGGGGCAATAAAATATAACCTATTTTAAGCTTCATCAAACTCATCTGATCAGTTTTTATAACAAAATGTAACTGGGTTTGTTTTAGATACTGTTGCAGGGCTAAAATGCATTTGCCTTGTATTGGATTATTTACATCCCGCATGTATATTAAAGGTCCATATGGATTCTTGTGAGCTTTTATGTTAGAATGTTTCTACCTCATCAAAAACATGTTTCATTCACAAATTTTTCAGTACCATTTACCTTTTAATTAATAGCAACTAAAATTACAGGGCTGAAATGATCAAAATAATTCTAGTGAAGTATGTATGGAATAAAAAAATAAATAAATAAATAAACAGTGGAGCTCTTCCTGACATACTAGCCTGATTCATCAGGCTTTCACTTCGCAGAAACTGTTTGACATTGCAGCATTAGGATTCGTTTGCTTGATGGGAGGCGAGTACTTTTTTTTCATTTAACCAATTACTGCTATTTGGTCACATGTGAAGAATGTAATGCACCGCTAATGGGGCTAACTGGTATATATTGAGCTTTTCCCAAATTCCGTAGGAAGAAGGGCAATAACGTCTTTCCCCTTGATAAACTTTGCCAAACATTTTCTTTGTTCCGGCTTTAAATCCTCGATCTTGGGAATCGTTGCCAACCCAGAATGTATGACTCGTCGCTGATTGGCTGGTGCCCGAACTCGCACTTCTGGGGTTTTTGCAAACCATCTAGTGTATTCTGATTCCTGACCTAATTGTTGGGGAGCAATGAAACTGAGCGGAAGCACTAGGTGGCACCAGCCTGGCTACTGGTTTACCACATGGCATCACAAAATGAAGTGTTTTCTATCTGAGAGACGAACTCAGTCTAAATATGCAGGATTTGTGTATTAAACATGTGAATAAAACAAAACACATATCCAGGCATGTTTGTGATGAGAAAACAACATAAATCTGAAAATGTTGTAACATGGGCGTGAAACCCCCTTAGTAACGTTAACATTTGGGTCATGTATGGCTTCGGTTGTCTCCTTTAAATTTACTGTATGTTGTTCTATATATTCCACACAGGCTCTTGTTAGCTCCTTATGCAGTGAGAAGGCTTTGCTTCAGTCGGCTCACACAGATCGACAGACGTGCTCATGCTGTGAATCACACTTACATTTGTGTTCATCTGTCTCCCTCGCATCCTTTTCACTCTGAACAAACAGCGACTTCTTCAATAGGGAAACACTACCGCAGAGAGCTCACACCGATTGCTATACCAGACCTACATGCACAAGTATACTTTCAAACACTCAGGACAAAGAGCAAACAACACTCAGCATTCATAATTAAAGCATACACTCAAAAGTACATTGTCCATCTTTGGATCATGATGAATAGTACTTATAAAATGCAGTCGTGTATGGTTTCACTTGGCTGTGGATGCCGTGTTGAGGACTTTGGGACATTAAAAGAAGTTTTCTTTTGAACTGACAATAGCTGATTTTATGTTTTAGATCTTTATATGTGATCTGATCCTTTCTTATTAATTTCACTCAATTTCTGCCACAGTTTTAGTAACATGAAATTTCATAGGATTGTACAAAGGCCTATCTGCATGTATTACCTGTTAGTACTGCACTGCTCCTCCCATGCAGTTTGGTTGCATAAGACTCACATATTTATGTAAACATTCTCATATCTATTCACTACGATCAAAAAGACAGACTATGGTATAAATGACCATAATGTGTAAATGTGCATTGTGTAACTTTTTAGAGCAATGACATATCCATAAACAAGCAGGTGACAGAGCTCCAGCAAAAAAGTTACATAGTGTACCATTAATAAAAAATAATATATACTCTTGTGTATATTTCTGACCACTGGTGATCCAGATGGGCATATGCTTGGCCAGTGCAAAATGTGAAATACATTTAAATTACATTTTTCAATATCGTTACATAATTCTACCTACTGATTACAGGTCACAGCTCTCCCCTCTTTCAACTTGAAAGAGCAACTCCGAGTAATAACAATAAAACACAACATTATACAGCTTGTTGCCTGTATTTCTGGAGGTATTACTTAGAAAACTATTACATTTTTTTCTTTTGACGGAAACACCTCCCACTGAACCTTTTCCGTGTCAAATTAGACTCCTATCAAACACGCATCACATCTCGCTCGGTGTTGTTGACTCAGATTGGCCACTTGCTGCTTTGTGCCAATTAACCAGCGTTTTATCTGTTTGCCCATGTATTAAGCACAGCAGAACTGGCAGCTGCAGTCTGGCTCGCCCCACTCGCCCATCACACACTGTTGGCCTCAGGGATTCAGATCTTGTTCACTTTTTAAGCCGATCAAAACCTGGCCGAATAAGCAAACTCACATGTGGTCGTCTGAGTAATGAAACACCTACGATTCTTCTTTTGATTCTGGTGCATACATAGAACTTTTCCATTTACACATCATGGGAGCAGGATGTAGGGTCAAGACATGAAGTTCCCTGAGTTTGTTCACATATGCAAAAGTTGACATTTGAGTAACTGATTAATTTGTGTGGTGGATAAGATGTGAAAAAATGGCATTTGAAATTATGCGAGGTGGAAATTTACATGGTCACAACTCACTCTCTTCATGTTATAAATCATAGGGTATCTCAAGATCTGGACTTATATCACAAGGTGGAACACAGCATTTTGTGCTTTGGAGATGTAGACTGTCACACAAACAGATAAAGGATTAATTAGACATGTGTGAATGAAACAAAACACAACTCCAGGTATGTTTGTAAGGAGCTAACATCATTATAATATGGCTTAAATTTCACAGCAGTAAATTTAGCGTAATATATGATCTTTAAATGTATTTTAGCTTTCAGTTCAAAAATTTTAATACCCTATTCACCTTTTTCATTTCAAAGCTGCAACTTCCACAAAAAGGAGACAACTAGAAAATTTTAAAACTTTGCACGACGCATCAAATTGTGGAGTAGCAGCTCCACTCCAAGCTCTCCACAAGTGAGAAATACATATCCACATCTTGGTTCGAGGCGACACTTCAGACACTCTAAACAAGAACATGTCCTCTCCCCCCTCCTCTTGTTTTCGTATCTGATTCACAGCGTACAGAATACAGCCAAACAAAAGCAGACACTGGGGTAAAGGCCAGGATCAGCGTGAGACCTCTCTCTCAGACGACTGTGGTGTTAGCTAATTGCTCCTGACATTTAGCCAAGTGTTGTTTAAATCTAAAGTATTCAGACACCTTCACTTTCCCTTTGTCTCACCCAAAAGCAGAGCACAGTTACAATGGCGTCATATTAACCTCCTCTGTGTGTCTGCTTACCGGACTCAACTGTTTTCATTATCTCACTGTTTGGGCTGTCAAGGCTCTGCAGTTTTCTGAAGGATTTCAACAGTCAACACCCCCTGAATAAACTTCCACTATAGTTATACCACAAGAATGAGATGTAGGCAAAACACAGGTATGGTGCTTTAGACTTTTTCTTTGCTTTTTTGCACTGTTTCTTCAAGTAAGTACATTACACTTTGAAAATTACTCAAATACTGTAAATAAAAATTAAGATTAAGTGGTTGGTTAATAACAAATACGATTTAAACTGAGAACTTGTGCACTAAAAAAACCTAAAAATTGCCAGTTAGAATTAAAGGTGCATTGAGCAACTTTTCTGGTGTTGGGTCCATCATCTGCTTGTCTTCATGGAGATGTTATT